ACAAAACTATTAAGATATTGAAAGTAAATTTTAACAGGAGGTTTCGTGACGTCATTTTCCCGCCAAAAACCGTTAAATCTCAAAAATAAAAAACATACGATTGTTCGGAATGGAAAGTTATATTGATGTAGCAAGTTTCATGTCCATCCGAAATATATTGAAAAAATTTATATCAGATGGCCGATTTTTGGGAAGAGCTGACCCGGCGTGATACTGTTTCAATTAGTTTAAAAATTTCACTTCAATAGCATCATCAAGTTCGGAAGAAGAAATTACACCGTTTGGAAGCGAAGAAATAAGTGTTAGAGGTGAGTGTTTGATTTGTCTTGAGAATTCAGTATTCTCTCTATATATATTAAATCTATTGATGATATTATGACAAGAAATGAAGAAATAGTTTTCATATTTTAAAATAATTTTAATAAAACTCTAGGACAGAATGTTACAAGCACCACACAAAAGGAGAAAGAATTCTTTCAACCAGGGAAGCATCCTTTAACACCAGACTCGAAAGCCCATGTTGAGTCCAAACCAAAGAGATTTGCTGGTAAGAAAAATACATCAAATGTTTTACTATAAAATTCTAAAAATTGTAAATACTTTCAACCTTTAAATAGCAATACTTATTGACATGCAGGCCTCTGCAATTACAACACTGCTGTTCAAAAGCCATTGTGCAGGTTCTAATTTTATGATCAGACAAATTCTTATTTAATATTGAAACATTCATCCATGCATGCATGTCATCAGCAAAAATTTAATTAATAATGTAATTTAATAATTACAATATTGGCAGGTTTGAATTTTATGATCAGACAAATTCATACTTATTGAATATATACAGATCATCAGTGCTCTGGTAACCCTCTGGTGATGTAATGTAAATTTAGTAATTATGATTTTCAGCAATGCTGGGATGTTTACATGAGCCCGGCTAGCTGGGCTGGCCCGGTTAACCTATGTGCCTGGCTTCATACAAATCCCTAAACAAAACAATTTTACTGCAGTTTACATGTAAATGGGGCTGGGATTTTCCCATGCACTGTAAATTCACCTGCCCAAGTGAATATCTATTTCTTAAGTTGTTCTTGTCAATTAGATAGTTTTAAATTGAAAATTAGCTCAATAAAACATGCCTTTGACTTGTGTGACAAACCTTACAGAAAGGGTATTAAGAAGTAAACAACTTTTCCCCACCATATTTGGCTTGGTAAAGTTTCAGCCCAAGTTAATCAGGCCAGCCCGGCTAGCTGGGATGTAAACAAAAAGACATCAAAATATTTTCTGCAAATTTAGTGGCTATAAGTCACCAGTGGACAATGAGTATTTTATTACAGTACATATCAATTGTTAATTAATTGGCATATAGTTACAGTAATCATGAGCACCAGATGGAGAAAGAAAGTGCTCTTATACATTAAATGCTCAGAGAGCTGATGTAATTGTGACTGTTATTAATATTTATAAATACATATTTTTACTTTTTACAGATACTGGAAGATATATATGGCAGAAATTATCCATTGAGTTAGAAAGGCTGCTGGACTATTGTGAAGACTCCAATGTCCATGTCAAGCAATCATTGTTAATGAGTTTACTTGGCTTATCCAATGATAAAAAAAATACTTTGACTCGGGCAATTAAAGAAATTTTCCCACATTCCACAAAAAGAAAAAAAGTTGTTGGATGTGAAAATATGTATCCTTTTGAGAGTAACACTATACTGCTGTGGTACCATAATGCAGTATGACTATCAGACTATGCAGCAGTAGAATTTATATACTGGCCAATAATTACTTTAGAATACTGTACACAACATGCCAGAGGCATATATTAGCCAGGCCGGGAGGGGCTGGTAAAACTCCCCCCTGAGAAAATTTATTCTATAAAAATAAGTGAAGCCTGTCCCCCCCCCCCGACCAAAATTCCTTGCTACGCCTCTGCAACATGTACCTGCATTGTGTGATGTAAATTGCTAAAAAGGATAAACAGATATTCTACCATTTGCATAGTAATACACCAGTTGATTTTAGTGTACAGTAGAGCAAAGAGTGTTGAGCAAAGAGTAAAAAGGAATGATAGTGTGCTATACATATATAGGTATCAAGGTAGCATGCAACTGATGGAGCTTTACGGGTTCCAAGAGTTATACAACCAGCTGCTTTAAATTTGAATATATTACAATATGTATATATTACAATGTTTGCTTGAAATAAATTCTAACCTTGCTGTGTTCATTGTATGTTTCCTCATACTGCAATCTTAAAATTTTATTAGTAACAATATATAATAATTTTTCTTAACATTGAATATAGAGTTATCTATACTAATCTGTCAGTGAAACCACATGGTACTCAGCCACTTGTTCCTACTCAGCTATTTGCCGAAAATGATGATATTTCCGTAATGCACAATGAACTTAATGTCATGGAAAACGGTTTAGCTGAACAGACACGACTGCTTCTTTCTGCATTAGATGATGGAGATATTAAACTGGCTAACGAGCTGTCAAAAGACCATAATTTGAAATTGCAACAATTTTTCAAATTAAACTCAGCGTTGATAAAAACGTACCAGGTCAAAGTGAAACTCCTTAATGTTCCTGGAGGTGTTAAAATAACTGATTCCCAAGAAAAGCAAATTAATAAAGAAATCAAAGAGATGGAAGAAATGTGCAACCTAAATCTGAAAAACAATAGTGATGTACAAGGTGTATTTGATAACAACATCTTCAGTGACTTATTAAAAGTTTTTCAAGAAAAGTGCCCTCTACTGCACAGTGTTCTCCAGACACTTTTAATAACTGATAAAAGAAAACGAGTGTACAAATCACCCGAGAATAAACTGACATGTGGTGTAAATGCACTGTCCTTGTTACTGAGTGTACGGAATGAGAAATGCAGAAATGATGTTTGACTGCTCCTCGGTTTAGTGTGTGTGACATTTGGCGCTGGCAAACAGTTCATGAACCTATTAAATTCAATTGGATTGACTCCTCATTGGGATACAATGTATGTATGCATTTTGCACAAGTGAATATAACAAATGCTACAACGTGACTGGTCAAATTTGACGTATTAAGATGTTATATTCACCTACAGGTTAATATAACAAAACCAAAATTTTCAAATTGGCGGCTACCCGTTTTGTGTAAGTTTACTGATAAAGAAATAAGAGAAAGTGAAATAAGTTCAGTACAAAAAAAAACACAAAAGACTTGTATAAAAATACTAAAACAATTATTCGCCGATAATCACCTCTCCTTCAGCGAATAATTGTTAATTGTTACGAAATTATACAATGTTAATATGGTGGAAAGTCCAGTACCGGTATTCAGTTCATTTTACTGTATACTGTAGTCTGGGGGTCGGCTATTTTGCGAGTTGCGAGTTGCGAGTCGCTAGCCTCGCTTTGAATTAGGCTTTGAAAGTATATTAATATGGACGACATGGAAGGCAAAGTCGAAGGGTTTTTTGTTTCATAAATATAATGACCTTCGAAGTTAAGGTCCCTGTAACTAAGACTTCGACACAAAAGAAAATGCTACGATACGGACGAGATAAAAATCGGCCTTTACTTGTTTTTTTACTTTGTTAGATCCATCGATACGTATGTTCAAGAATTAAAATAATTATATTGAAAATAAAAGTGCAAGTTTATATTTGCCGTTTCTGTGTTTAATAAAATCTTGTAGTTATCCAGACCATTTTGTGCTGTCTAATCTTAAAATGGTTATTTAATTTTATTGGTAAGTATGACCAGACACCGACTCAGTTTGTTTATATATACTGAACGCTGGGAACCCTATAAAACTCAAGTCCTTTTCATCGGAAGTACAATTTATTTTATACAATTTATACATAGACATACCTATACATACATAAACTTTATCTAAACACGGGAAAAAACCATCAGTATATCAAAACGATTGCTATTTACAAGTTTGTAAGTACAAAAATAAATGCAATGAATGTTTATTTCAAAAGCTGAAAATTGGCGCCAAATTGAGACAAAGCTAAAATCACATCCGCCAGGATGCCATACAGTTTTCAATTTGAATTTTTAGTGTAAACCACAGGTGTAAACACCTGGTTCGGTGCTTCAAAGCTAGGTTAGTGTTAACCCTGGGTTAAAATTAAACCCGATGTTATTAGAAATTAACAATATACTCGTAACTCGCAACTCGCAACTCGCACTATAGATAATCTCTGTAGTCTGTAGTTTCCCTCAACATGCATTTTTTTGTCAAACAATAAGCATGGATAATAAAATAAATGTATTTTATTATCCATGCAATAAGTGACGTTTTTATGACTTTATTTCGTATTTGCCATAATACCAACATATGAAATCTCAGCATATCGACCAACTTGTAGAATACGTACAAACTATTGCGTACAATTGTATTGTCTCTTCCAACTTCTTTTAGAAACAATTTTCTCGATCAACGCAAAACAGTGTTGCCAAGTATCATTGAAGATAAATGCCCTATTTCGACTCCAGTTATATTGTTGATGGACAATATTAATCTCTACCGTGGAAGGAAACGTCATTTCAGGCTCTCAAAATCAATGGGCCCCAATATGTGGAATTTCACAGTCCGAGGAGCGATCATTCCAGATATATCAGAGATAACAGATCTAATGACAGAAAAGGATACCGCGACAATGCCACAATCGGATATATCCAGTATAAAAGTTAAAGATTTGTTCTTAGGTACGTATACGTGATTCGGCAATTTTATACGATATGCTATAGAGTTCATACAGATACAGCAGTACTCATTAAATTTCCAATGAGGCAATGTCATGAAAGTTAGTAAAACCCGGATCAAACATCATTCTCGTGACTATCGCTTTGCGTTTTTGTTCGCGGCTGTTGCCAACTGTGTTTTGTCGTTTATTGTTTTTATGTAAAGTAATACGAGCAACAAAAATTGCAGCAATTTCTCGCGCAACATACGACTTAAAGCAGTGGTATTTTAGAAAAATGCCATAAGCTAATGAATGTTCACAAAAGTGTTCTAATGTATGCATGTACATTTTAAATTAACATCCCTTGGGCAAAAAAAAAAAATATGTGGGTTTCCGGTTTCTTCTTATAAAAACTTAGGTAGGGTAGGTCGGTTTTAACTTTTTTTTTTAACTTTTTTTTATTTTTCCGAATGAGCGGACGCCATTTTGTTTAGTCAGTGCTCCCACATCCAAAGATAAATTTCCCTAATATTGCCTCAAATTTCAATTTTCCACAAACTTTTTCCTCTAAGTGGAAACACTTACAAGCATGATCCAATAAAAAAGTTTAGGATCGGGATTTCGACGTCCAAAA